TAAATGAACATAATGAGAAGAATATCAAGTGAGATCATTCATCAACTTCCGAATCGGTATAATCGCCGACCCCCTGTAAGAATGCATGATGTCAATAATTTTTGATCGAATCACCATATAGGTTGCATCAAAAACACTTGATCAGTAATTCTTTGGAAAACAATTTTCTTTCAATTATCACCAAAGAACAAAAATATGACGAAACACAACTGTGACGTTCGCGACAAATTCGTCGTGTTGTTCCCAAACAACAAAAAATTTAACCTTCTCTTTGCTTATATTAAAACAAACCAATTTCTCTTCCATAATTTACTTACAAAATATATAATAAACACCATTTTACGATTTATGTAAAAAACGCTTACTTGAGCAATTTTTTCGTCGAGCATTTTGAAGAAATCTGCTTGGCTAGCACTCTCCACCTGCCTGAAAAAGAATCGTAAAGGAATATTCCACATTCAAAATTGCATCGTAAAGATAACGAAAGCAACATTTCTTCGACTACAAAAGCAAGATTTATTCATGAAACGTGTCGTGCACATGAACATGCAGAAGATTATGAGATTCTCATTGAAGTATGAGTTGACAATCTGAACAGAATTAAAAGAGAGAAACCCGATAGGCTTTGTACAAACAGTCGTTGTTNAGTAATAGGCCTGAAAGAAATTGTTAAATGATTTTTTATTTTTCAATCTTTTCATTTCTGATTTTTGTAAAATGTTTTTCTGAATCGATGAGGAAAGTTTTCAAAATACAACCACAAGAAGTTCGTCAACGGACTCGTTGAACTGCTTTGAAAATACCCTCTAATAGCAGTCTTCGAACGGATTACAAGAGAAATCAATGTGCACTAAGTTGATTTTAACAATGAAACAATCACGTTTATATGCATCATAAGAAATGCTTGTAAATGTGAATTATGAACGAATTATTATCGTTAAAAACAAGAATTCTTATAACCTTGCGGGTTGGGGAGACATTTTCGAAGTGATGTTGGATGAATTGCTACTATGTGTGATTGTGGAAGATTGTCCATTTGAGATATTATGACTATCAGATGCGGTGATATCGTTACTATTGACTGTAGCATCAATCAATCGGTTAGCACTCGAATCACTGTCGTTATTGTTATCATTACTGTTGGCGCATAGGTTCACTGCATTTCGCTCGAGGTCTGTATCGCTATCACTACGTGACAGACGGCATCCCATATCATAATTCTTTCAGATACTGAATTCACTCATTTATTTATTCAGCTGTTCCGCTACTCGAACAATATCAATCATTTATTGCTGTCATATCAATATCATTCGTCATCGTCAACACTCCCTTTCAATAATAAAATAGTTCCTCCTAAGCAGCACTGCTATCCGTCATTAAGATACAACTCATCTGACGTCTAATACATCATTCGTCGCATAACACTGCTTCAAATAAAATAAATACGAGCGCCTGCTGAAACTCGGCAGTAAAAATCTGAGACTCTTTTGAATGGCTGAGCTTTTGACAATTGTTCGAAGCAGTTCACAAGATCAATAATCACCATTTTGGTGGACTTAGACTGTGGCTCAACTATGATTTAGGCTGAGACTCATTCTGGGCTCAGGTCGACGTTTTCCCCGGATTCAGGATGATGTTTATCGTGTACTACGAAATTCCCTCGAACAGCCTTCAAAATCTCGGCCTCATGAGTCGGACTCGTACGGCTAAGTTTTAGCAGTTGCCATTAAACAAGTTTAGTATAGTATACGTAATAGCATAGCCTGAACTTCGATCTGGGGTGAGAAAGAAGCTGTAATTCATTTGGGCGACATTCGTGCAAGTGATCGCAGAAGTTCAGCAGCGAACTAAGTGGATAATCATTTCGTTACTTAATTCAGAAATAACTTTCTCACTGCGCGATTTTACAATTTCATCATTTTATACACTGAAGATTTTTTTGGTTCTGTTCTAATGAGAATCCTTCTTGCTACATCACTATATACATACACAGATTCCATTCGACTTAAAGCGGCAATTGAAGAGGACGGGTGGGCAGCGGCCGCACCGTTTGAATCCAAACTTGCTCATAAATCGGATTATCTTTCACTAAACACGAAACGAATATACATCTTGCTTTATGCTTTCAAGTCTAATGTAAAAGTGAGATGATGTTATCGAATGGCCGATGATACATCGTTATTGGTTGTCGATAAACGTGCACTTGGATAGGTGATGTTTGCTTTGGCGTTTAATTGACATATCGCCGTGTTTATGCGTTCATACAATCGTACTCTATACCGCAACTTCGGAAAACCGAAAATTTCTGGGGGAAAATCATTTGAAAGTATGTGCATTGCGACAATCTCTCAGAAAACCGGTGAAGACGTTCAAATGAAATCATTCGGAAATCGTCGTTCTGCGTATAAACACAGTGACTGGTGGCATATTAGAATGTCATGATGTTCAGCACTAATGTGAAGTTGTTCTCATTCACAATGCTTCGAAAGTGGATCGTATTTTTAAGCGGGATGCTTACAGAAATCAGTTTACTCGAAGGTGCTTGAAGTATACTCGAGAGAAGGACTATATTGAGTGGGAACTATTTCAGCACTTCGACGGCAAAAAAAAAAGATTATACACGGCGAATTGAAAAGAGCACGGCAGTTTCATGTTGTCATAAAACGGCAATGAAATGTATAATTAGCAGTCATAAAATGGCAATGAAATATACAATTAGCAAAGCTCCTTTGCTTTTGCAAATGCTTATGTTATGAGGTTTTGGCACAATGTGATACAAAACGTTAGTCAACGCTTGTTTAAAAAAAATATTCGCGGATTTCTTCATCGTTTAATTTACGACCTTCGAAATTTTCAATTTTCATCTTTCTTCTCGAAATTTTAGGTTTTTTAACTTCCTTTCTAGACTTTCCACTTTCCACTTTTTTTACGGTTATGGGCAGATGAACATCGTGCGTCCGTTGTCGAAATGTTCTTCAAGAACCAGGAATCTGTGATTTCAACGCAATGTACGTTTCGTAGGCGCTTCCTACGTGGTCAATATCGTTCCGTGCCTGCTCC